TTGACAGGATTTTCCAAGACAATTAAAGTATTAACCCTCTTTCTTCCTGTCCAGTCTCTAAAAATGAAGCTATTAACTCCTTTCTTGATGGATCAGTCAAACAGGATTTAGCCTTCATAATCTGTTCCACAAATCTGCCATCAAGCTCCACATACATATCTGCTACAATTTTATCAACTGTTTATTAGTCATACATTTAAATAACAAACACCAGGCAAGCTCATGCAAGCTTAYGATTTTTTGTAATATTTTCCATCTCATTCTGTTTAAGGGCTCAGCTTTCTAAGGCTCCTACAGTTTCTCAGATCAATTTTGACACAGTTGTTGTCAATAATTCAGTGATCTTTCACATACGGGGAGACGAGTGGAGGGAGGAAAAAAAGAAAGCTTAAAATTTTTAATCTTAAACTTCTTCTTTTGTAAAATTGTTCAAAAGCTCAAGCATCAAGTTCACTAAGAGCACAACTGTGACATTTGGTAACGGAAACAGAACATTCTGCCAAAAACAAATAAATAACGTTTGTGTTCTGAAGCAGCTGACTCATCAGGGAGAACCGTGCGCTCTGCAGCAAAGGAAAACCTTTGCATTTGCGCCRTGCAGCCAACTTGGACTGCAACTGGTATGAGAAAGGACAGAGCAACCAAAGCATAACACTGCTGTACAGTATCATGAAATAAAACTTTGCATCTCCATAGAGAAAGAACATACAGTAAAGGCACAGCAAGACACAAAAAAATACATATTCTAGCATTGCCTTTTTTCAAAGGCAACTAATGGAACACTAAAATAGAATTTATACTGTTCCTCTACTATGAATAACAATACAAAAATTTCTCAGTTTCTCGGTGTTAAAATTTCGCATTTCTAGTTTTGTGGAAGATTCTTTTTCAGGACTCAGATGTTTGTAAATACCACTTCTCTCTTAAGGAAGTAATGCACAGACAAAAGTGTTTCTCATATTGGACATCTGAACTAACAGATGCCACAGTAGTTTTAAACAATCCACACAAAAGCCACTCTCCCTCTATCCAAGTTTCATTTTTATCATATTGGCAGGTCATAGATCTACTACTGATTGAGTAATTGAGGAAGAACATGACAAAAAACTGAAGGGGAAAGAAGCCCTCTAATTTAGATGCAAGTTATATAAATTAAATGTATACACTACCCAAATATCAAACTTGAAAGCTCAGAGTGGTAGTACATAAATAAGGATGGAAAAAAGAAACATAAGGGACAGTAACCTAACCCGCTTCTCCTTGGCCAATCTCTTATGCAATGATTTAGTTTTTCTAATGCACTTCTCCAAATCCTAAGTGCTATGACTGTACTCACAAGCTCGCTTTCTCCTGAGCCAAGTTTGCAACTTCAAGAGAATGTCATTTGAGAGCGACATTAAAACTTTTCAGCAAGCTGCTAACACATCTCAAATTCTCACTGAAAAAAGGAAAAGATCATCAGGTATCTTAAGTGAAATTTAATTATAAAAGGTGAAGCTTTGCTCAAAGTCCTAACTAACCTAGCTACAGCAGAAAGCATGCCATGATTGAAATTAAAATGCAATTTCMTCTTGACCACTTTCAAGACCAGTTAAAAACATGCAAAATTTAAGACCACATGGAAAGTATTTGGTTAAAAACACTTCCTTTTTTTTTTTTCCTCTCTGAAGAAAACAGAGGAGGAAAATTTGTTTAGACATTTACTAGAATTCTGTGAATTTTACTTTTCCAATAATTTTCCTTTCCTTTAAAGGCATCTGTTAAAAAAATAAATAATAATAAAAAAGGTGTCAATACATGAAAGTGTAGAAGTGCAAKAGGGCAGAAAATAATAAAAGTAAAAAGAATTGGTGCTTCCACAGAAGTGAAACTTCTATCATAAATTCATCCCAGAACACATAAGAGCAATGTTGAATAGCTCAGAGGCTTAGTAATTCAGATAACTAGTTCAAATTCAGTCAAAATTAGGAGTAATTACTAGCTCACCACTGGCAGGTAATCTAGATAAAACAGTTGGAAACCATCTCATGTCAGACAAGTATCAAGTGAGAGAAGTAAAAATATGTCCATATACAAGGTTTTCCTTTTAACATGTTCCAAAGGCCTGGAATCCAAGAGAAAACACTTAGTTTGCACCATAATTTTATTTGGTGTTTCCACATTCACATTACAGTCACCCTGAAGGCAGCTGAGATAAACAAGAACTCTAGGTTAAATTAAGATGACACTTAATCTGTRAATCGGGAAACACAGAGTCTACCACCTATTCAATCATACAGCCTAAGGGGGGGAAAAATGACGTCTTTACATTAAAAATAATGATTACATTTCTTCTTTAAAAATGCTTTGAGAACTTTAATGCAAGAGATGCACTAAGCATGTGATAACTATTGTTTCGTTAGAAACTGCAGCATATGGTATATAAATTAAGCAATCTTGGAAGATAAAGTGACTTTCACATATGTTTTTAGCAGCAGCAGTGGTTTGCACCAGCGTAAAGCAGCCAGTCCACCTACTTTGTGCCAGCRTAAGTAAGGCCACACAGAGTGAATCAAGACAGGGAACTTATCCAGATAAAAAGTGGTTTTTTCCCTAGTGGGTTGTTTCTTTTGGCAGCAATATTGATTAACAACTTCATGGGTATGTGAAAGTACAGCCTTTAATTGCTCAGAAACCYGATTAAAACAGGCCTCTAATGAAGTAAGTGAGATGAAGGCTGTATCACTGACTGCACTTCTCCTTGCTTTGGAGGACCTCAAACTCCAGGGACCATCATGCCACCTCCTCTCACAGACATTCATGCACTTYTAAAAAAACTACTTTCTTCTACAGGTCAAACTTTAAGAAAAAAAAAAGTACCAGCCTGTTTATAGCGTAGCACAAAAGATCAGACCATAAAAAAAGATAGTGTTTGAATGAAAACACTAAGCGTGCAGATGACAACACATAAAACTGTTCACTCAACGCTTTTCACTTCTCTGGGAAAGAAAATATAGAGCTTTGTAGCAGCTTTGTAATACCTTAATATTAATCTGTAAATGAAAATCGTTTAGTTCATTCTTTCATATCCCTGTTCTAATAACTTATTTTACACGTAAACTCAATCAACTCCTTCTAGTTAGAAAAGGTTTCAAGCAAGAATTTAGGAGGCATCAGACTAAGCGTGTAGGGCTTGGCTCAAACCAAAGGAAGCCATTCTTCGGAACTGCAGGTTCAGCTGCAAAGCTCTTTGACAAAAGGACATTTTCAGCACTGAAGATTTACACAGAATGGCGAGGAAAATGGGCCCTGCAAAACTGTAGATAATTATGACTACACACATTCAAGGAAGACTCTGGGTTGGAAATGCCTGGCGGCTGCTGGACATGCGGAGCACTGCACGCCTGCTCTGCTCCTTCCAACAAAACGCAGCTCTCCTCACCTTCCAACGGGCTCCCCGTCAACGTTTTTGGTTATTTCTCGAACGYGCAAGGGGGACCCGCACCGCCGCCAGCACCGAGGCGGCGCCGGCACCGAGCGGCGTTATGGCCGAGGGGAGCCCTCAGGCCGCGCGCGGCGCAGAGCGGGAGCCCAGCGCGGCGCCAGGATGCCCCGCACGGCGCAGCGGGAGCCCCCGGCCCGCGAGCGGGGCGCCAGGCACGCGCTCCCCGGGCG